ACATGATAAGACAAGACTGTTGTCCACTACCCCGAAGAAATCCTTATTTACGTTAAGTTGGATTATGTGTCAGACTCTGGGGAGAGAGATGTCAGGAATACGTTATATGGATAAGAAGACTCTGGGAGATTTGGATTTCGAGGTCGATTCATGTTTACTGTCACATGAATTCGAAGACACTCAGACTTAGACCAAAAGGTTGACAGAAGAACACGCAGCCAAAAAAGGACGTCAAGTGAACATGAAGGAGTGGGATCTGGGGAAGATATCCAACAAGTGAGAAGAAGCACCAAGCACAGTCCTTCACTTATCTAGACAGCCATAGTTTCAACTATAGGCGAACGGCACACATGACCATGTCAGAACGAGACTGATCTTCATCCTTCTGAAAAAAATTAGAAATTTTCTGCAATCCTAAGCATATAGGACAGAATTCGGATTTGTGATTCCAGTGTCATCACTCCTTCTTTATGGATTAGAGGTTTGACGCGTGATGATAAGCATTTCCAACGCTCCAAATATTTATCAACAGCAGTTTTCACTGCCTTCACACTGGAGATCGGATGGCCAGCCAGAAAGTGTACTGAGTGGAACATAGGGTTTCAACAACACATCTCCGCTTTCTTCTATTTACTGCCGTCCTCTTCACTTGGGTCCGTAATTGCTCGTTATCTCTCATTTCTTCACACGATCTCCCTCATGTAACCCACGGACGCCAGCCCAGTTCATCTCTTCCTATTCGGATATCACTCGAGAGATGGCCAGCTACGCGCATGATGCCATTCAGTGGCCACCTCAATGTATGCCCGATCAATCTCCATATTCTCATACATATTTGTTGGGCGATCGTTTCTTGGTTGGTCTATTCCAACAGTTTCTTGTTACATGTTCTTTCTGACCACTTGATCTTCAGCATAGAGCTAAGGCAGCTGTTAGTGAAAGTCTGCAACAGGCTTCTGGAAATCCTTTTCATGACATGTCCGCCAAGTTTCTGACCCATATAGAAGCCTCAAATGACTGGATTCAAATTCGTGTTGAAAATGCGGATCTTCTTCATGCTATAATAATAATAATAATTTATATTTCGTATAAACAGGTAAGTTTACATGAAATGCATGCCATTTTTACAGGCACGATCAATTATGTTAAGAATTACAATTGTGAATTAGCATACATTATCACTTTTTTAAAAAGTTCATATTGTTGAATTACATAGTACAAGCAATCGGAACAGATTCTTATTATTGTTAATTTGTAAATCTTTCACGAAGGTCTCCATCGAAGTTGGGCGAGACAACCCAAACTTCGTTCCATTTCCTGATGATGATAGTAATGGCCCATCGATAAACAAAAAATATATATGATTGAGTACTGTGACCCTGAGGCAGAAGATTTCCAGACTGGTTTCAGGTTGATAATGGCGTATCTTGCCTTTCCAATTCTGAATTTGATATCTTCCTCGTTCCATCCGTGACCGAAACGATGCTGGCTGCCTAGATAAGTGAATGAAGTAACCTCTGCAAAATCTCTCCCATTGATGCTGATTGGTGCTGGTTGTTGTTGCTGTTGACCGGTTGGTTACCCTCATCGCCTCCGTCTTTTAGATGTTCACCTGGAATTCAATCTTCGCTGCCTGCCTCTTCTGTCAGTTTTCTGGTTTTCGCTTTCAAGTCTTCGAGTTTGTATAGCATTAGACAAATATCATCCATGCGGGGAATCCAGATCTACTAGAGTCTTCTTATCGGTCGTCCATTGTATTCCTGTCTCCTCGCTCCCGATGCACGCATAATCTAGTCCACCACAAATAAGAATATCAACGGTGATAATAGGCTGGCAGCCTTGTCTTACACCTGTATGCACTTCGAACGCCTCGCTGAGTTTATATTGTGGATCACCTGAAATGTGGCATTATCATATAGCCAGCTGTTGAATGAGGTTAATAGAGATTTGATGTACACCGTAGTGTTGCAGTAGCTTCTACATTACTTCTCGGTCAACGCTTTCGAAGGCCTTTTCGAAGTCGACGGAGTTGAGGTAGAGATTTGACTGCCATTCCCTTCTTAGTCCTGTTATGACGAAACGTGGAGTTGCAATTTGATGAGCACGTGACTTGCCTTTCCTGAATCAATTCAGCTTGTTCAAGTGGGTGGCGGAGTTCTGTATTCAGTGCATCTTTTACCCTCTCCAGAATGATGCGACTTAGTATTTCACTTGGCGTGGACAACAGCATTATTCCACGCCGGTTCCTGCGGAGGCCTAGATCACCCATCTTTGGTAGCTTGACAGGGTAGCCAGCCTTACTGCCTGTCGGTAGGTACCTTTCCTTCCTTCCAGACTTCTCCCAACAGTGGCAACATCATATCTACTTCAGTCTACTGGTCCGTTTTCAGTGCTTCGGTGTGGTGGGATTCCTTCTCGTTCTGCCTACTTCAGTAACTTGTTCGCATCTGGGATTTCTGCTTTCGTTTGAAGATTGGTGTCAACAAGCAGTTCTGTGAGTGCTGTGAGTGTTGGTGGCATTTCTGGCCGATTTACCGGTGACAATGGTCGATTCAAGAGTCCTATGGAGTGATCATCCCATTGTTTTATTTGTTTCTCCCTCCTTGGAATTTAGGTTCTTTTGGGCAACTTTTATTGGTTTCATCATCTGGGTTGATCTTTCTCCGGATAGAGACCTGCTTATCTGATATAATGTCCTGATATCTCTTTTGCCTGCGGCTTGCTCTGCTCCAGTTGCCAATGTGTCGTAGAATTGTCTTCTTCACTTCTTTATTCAGTGTGATGTACATTGAACACAGCTTCTCCTTCTGTTGTCCATCTATGCATTGAGCAGTCATCTCCTTCACCACCCTTCTCTCTTCATTTAACTTACAGGTGACGTCCGTTGACAGCCAGTTCTTGTCTTGTCTCTTCCTCCTTCCTAGAACAGTTGTACACGTCTCCTTCCATCCCTTCAGAGAATTCGAATGTTCTTCCACACAGGTTTCCTCAGTGATGCCACGTAGTATGTCCGACTTTGCTGCGTTATCTGTAGTGGAGGCATCCGTTGTAGTTTTCCTTCAGTTTCTGAATGTTGAACTTGAATTACAGTGACCTGTCTCCATTTGTTTTCATGGATTTCAGTTTCACTTTGAGGGTTCCTTGAACTGGATGATGGTCTGAGCCCGCATCTGCACCCCTTCACAACCTTGTGTCCAGCAGGCATGCTGCGTCTCCACTTCCTTGGGAGTGAGATGAAATCTATCTGGTTGGTTGTGTGTCAGTCAGGCCAATTCCATGTTGCTTCGTGGATATCCTTGTGCTTGTACACGCTCCCTTCAATCACCAAATCGTTGAAGGCGCAGAAGTCTGCGAATAACTCTCCGTTGTCATTCAGTTCTCCCAGAGTCTCTCCACCCGTGATGAGTTCTCTTCCCATATTATCAGGTCCTAGTTTGGCGTTCATATCCCCCATGAGGATTTTGATGTCACCATTTGGGATGTTGTCCATTACTGTTGGTATTTGTTTGTAAAACTCTTCCTTCTTTTCTTGTTCCGCGTTGTTTGTAGACCTGAATAATCGTAATGTTCCTTCCTTCCTTTTGAGTTGAATCTTGCTGTCACGCTCCTGGACGAAATTCGTTGCCACTGCATTAGGGCTTTGGCTGCTATTTGTGACATCATGATAGTCACTCACTACCCCTGTTTGTTCGTGGCTACCAGGCTGGAGTATATAATGCTGACTCTGCAGTTGACAACTTTGACATTCCGGACCCATTCAATATACTGCCCTAGATACCCATCACTTCTATGCTGTATCATCGCATTTCGTTGGCTACCTTGGCAGTCTTTCCACTCGGCCCCGTACATTGTACGGCCATTACACGTACCCATTCTTGCTTTTATCGAGGGAAAACACATAGGCTGTCTGAATGGCTTCCTGAAGCGTTTCATCAGCACTCTGTGTCACTTCGCCTATCCGATTCTGGAGAAGAATATGATTGTTATCTGAAGGTTCTGTATTTCAGACATATATTTTGTGCGCTGAAGTTTCTCCAGCAGTTTGATAGGTTCAGTGGTGTGGGGTTGCTAGCCTAATGCCCAACCTTCCCTCCTTACCCGGGCTTAGGACCGGCCAGATAACTAGCAAGCTAGTTATGCAGGCTAGGTTAACTAGAAAGAACTGATAGCAAGAAACTCTAAGAACGAACTAGTCAGGAACCGTTCACGGAAGACTTTGCAGAAGAAAGTTGGGATGGATCGGGCAGACTAGTTGACCGTCAGATGACATAGGCTTATACGACTTAAAGTGAAACCCGAGTGGTAACGGGTGAGTCCGCCTTTTGAGGATGATATGGAAGAGATCTTATGAGGAGAGGATGAAAGGCTTTAGTTGATTTTACAGGTCAGAACCGCTGGATTTATCCAAAGTATGCATCATTAAATCACAGTCTGTTGACCTACTATGGACTGTGGTGCATACACCCTTGTCTAAACATTCTGTCTCAGTAATTGTATTTGTTTTATATGTAGTACGGGATCCTTCGAGTTAGTCACTTTGCCTTCGACATTTTACGACTGGGTTTTTCCGTGGTTTTCCTCTTATTGTCGGACCACTCACAGTTAGCAGTTCCTCAGCAGTCAAAAAATTATACTCTGTCGTGAGATCGAGATCAATTATTATCTAGTACTTGTGTTGGTTCTCCTTTTTATCTACAGCAGGATACTAATTGTGGTCTGGGTAGATGTCACTCTCTTGAATTTTCTCAGCTGTTCAAAACTCTCGGGAGTCTCGAAATGAAGTAGTAACTTAAATCCCCGATTTACCTGCATGATGATACAGGAGGTTTCATCTCGAAGACTACAGGTATCACAAAGCATATATTCAAATGAATCTCTTCATTTTTTCTCACGATAAACTTATTAAAAATACGCCGAAAGTAATTTTATCCTTTTATAATTCATACTAAATTTCACTGTAGCTTTCGTTTGAATTATCAGTTTTGCTCTATTTTCAAAGTATGAATTCATTGTCGCGGATTGAGGCAGTTGTATGCGAAATACTACAATTTCTTAAGTCAGATGAATCATATCAAGTCAAAGAAAAGTATGTTTCAGTCATTTTCATCATGATTTCAGTTATCCTGTGAGAATTTTGCTGAAAAATCCCACCGAATTTAGTAAGTATATCCGTGGTATTCAACTTTTATCATTATTTCTATGTTTTCATCCTCTATGTTTGCCTTAAGCCATTTGTAAATGGATTTTACTTGAAATGCTTTTAGTCAGATTACTATTTCTTGAAATTTTCCGGTTTAAATGTTCTGTAGGATATTCCAGAATCTTCTAAATATGTTAGCTGTGACAAATATATTATGGACATCATCGATTACATGAACTACAGTGAGGTGCTTTGCTTATGTAGTATTCTAACTTCACTGTTATAGAGAGATATCAGTTAGTAAGCCAAGACAGAAGACAAATTTGATCATCATGAATATGGAATATATTTCGCTATCAGTAATATAGAACGATATTATGCGCTTAGATAAGTAGACATCATGCACAATCATTCGGACATAACACATAAGCTTTCCACGTGGTGAGGATGCTTGACTATGTGTTTTTAGCTTAGTCTGTAGACTTAAACTGTAAGCAGCTAAGGTCAGCACAAAATATTGAGTGATGAGGTTGTAGGCTAATGATTTTTGCGGAATTATTCGCTACCACCAACTTTACAGTTGTGTATTCTGAGGTAAGTTTGACTGAGATTTTACTTTCGGCGTTACTCTGCAGAATTCCGGAAATATTCTGAAACTTTGGAAAAACTTTATTTTTTTTGTTATTTCATTTTGATTTACAGCTTGATTCCACATCGTATTTTCAGTACAAGTGTGGAATTTTCAGCATGGATATCGGTAGCCCAAATTCAGGCCGACCATAGATATCGGGTGTGCGCCGGCAGGGGATCGAACCCCGGACCATGTGCATGGTCGGCGAGAGTCCTAACCACTGTGCCACCGACGCAGGATATTTCATTTATTTTTAAATCCACCTAAAGCTTTTGCTTATTTAACTTGCTTGCCTAGAAATTCATGATATTTTCGCAGTTCCTATTAAGCAAAAAATATTTCTTAAATTTTTTCCTTCTTCTCGAACTGTGACTTTGTGAGTGGTGATAAAATTAGACAAATGGAGTACTGAGAACGTTAATTTGAATCTGTCTGCACAACAGTCACATAAATGCAGGAAGTATAGTTATTAAAGATAATACCCTCTATGGCGAATAAAATTAGAACTCATCAAATGTTTAGGAATATTAAGATATACGTTAATATTGACAGAGAGAAATTTTATTTCTTGGCCTACTCAAGAATAAAGAAATCGACTATATAGAAGGCCTCTGAAATCTGAATATATGCGTAATTTTTTCCCTCAAGTTGAGTTTCAGTTCAGTAGTACAAAGAGTATGTACTTCTTCATATTTATTTTAGAAAAAGTTGTTTTGGTTGGTGGATTAAACATCGGCAGAAATTGTGTGGGATTTATTCACCACTAAAGTAGCCAGGTCCTAGTTTTCCGAATTATAAAGCAAAATGGACCTAAGAATTTCATTGTAATATATTTTTACTGTGACTTATTTTCATAAATTTTTCCTGTTGTAATATATACATATATAGCACGCTTTATGGTGATTTTAAAAATGATGCATGAAGCTGTACGAGAGAACAAATTTGTAACGAAAAGGTTTGCAAGCATCAACTTCACGCTTTATATTCAGATCTATATATTACTCGAATCCAATTTTGTTTAAAAGACAGTCCACAATAGACCCGATTGTGTCAAAGATTTGCGAGAACTTCAATCTTCCCCGTTGTGCGCTTAAAATAGTATGTTTACTTAATTTGTCTAATCTTCTTTATTCAAGAGTGCTTCTCCCAAACTGATAATTCATGGAGATATCGTTTTGAAAGCAGGAGTTGAAGACAGTTCATCCAGAACCAATTGCATGGTTAGTTGTTCCATAGTTTTGTGTATTTAGTTAGACTAAAACTGCTGAATTACGCAAGCGGCAGTAATTACTTTTTGTGATTTCTACTTGTTTTGACTAACCCTTTGCAAATCTATGCCTTAGTGTTTATTTTTCAGTTGTTATGGTGTGGTTGGTAGACACCCTACATTTTGTTGAATGAATGACTGAAACTCCTTGAGTAGTATTCCTGACTTATTTCGTCTAAGCATGCAACTGAATTAGCATTCACTTAAAAAATCTAACCTAATACCCGCGGACCATGGAGGAAGGCTAAAGCTTGGTATCCATAACACGTGTCTTACCCATTTCAATCAACATAATTTTACAATCTCATAGATCAACTTTCGTTCCTTACCTAACCACTGTATTACTGAACATATTATACCATTTAACACAGGAGAGAGAACTCAAACACTTGTGTTAAAATATGAGAAAAATCTTAATATCTTACACTTTAAACAGCCATCTTGTAACTGTAGAGTGGAATGGAACTAACGGATGCAGAGTACAGATGTCTCTTGATAGACTTTCGAAATTCACTCTTATATACCAGAGATGATGTAATTTGGAGGACACCTAGTGAGCCTTTTGTACTTATGCTGAGATTTCTTTGGTAATCAGCCCAGTAGGTTAAAACACCCAATCATTTCATTCCCCACCCTTTAAATAACTGGTGGTGTAGACCAGTTCTGTAGCATCATCTTATATTTGACAGGGGCGTATCTCATGACAAACATACTTTGAATTTCTGTTCAAGGTGTTCAGAGGACTGAATTTTGTCAGCGTCCTAATCTAGAATGATACCACTCTCTGTATACTTTAGATCAGTAAAATTCTGTCCCTATTAGCTGAACTTTCTGACACCGAGTAAGGTGAATTGCGTAGATTCACCCTTTTTATCAGATGGAGTTTAACGAGTAATCACACTTAAGTCTAGTATATTTGTCTCCGAAACAAAACAAATATTGATTGACGGGTATACCTCATTTCTAGCTTGCAAGACCTGTTTTCCGATTCGGCGAACAATCACAATACTGAATATTCCAATATGGGCTTAACTGTATGGTTATGAGAGATTAATTGCAGTAATCTTCTGGTTGAAGTCACTAGTGACGACCACGGAGTTAAAAGGTGAAAAATGTACCCATGGGAGTTAAGTAAGAAAATTACATTGAGTGATGGAGAGGGTGCTTAAGAGGTTATTGTTTCCTGGCTGCCACTGTGTAGAAGTTCATCTCTTCTTGAAATACACTATTGGCCTATTCGCAGTGGTCTGGGAATTTCGCTCATGTGAATGGACTACCACAGGGTAAGACGAGAAGAAACATTTTTGGGGATGATCTTTACCAACCCCAATTCCTTAGAACAGAGAGGTAGCGTAGATGGCTTCCTAGTTGTCTGAAGGAAACACCTTACTTCTGTTATACCCGTGTCCACCAGCAGTACACCTTTGCCTCCAGATCAAAAAAGTGTATAAACGACTTGCGTTTCCATGTTTCCTTCTAACCTGAGAGTATGTAGAAGTGTGCACTGACGACGTTTTCAGGGATCGAACCTTGAAATCACCTAATTTCAAAGAAATAACATTTTAGTATTTATTGATACTTGTTGTTCCTCTCTGGTACGTTTCAACCGAATTAATCCACCTTATTTTCGCATATGGGCCTTTTGCACGGATGCCGAAATATTACTCTGATTACTGACTGAAATCACATCAGTGGTTCGTGTAGCTCACTATCCTACTGAATAACATTTCGGCGCCTGAAACGATGGGTTCTACGTTCGAGTCTCACTGGGAGCACCATCATTATCCGACTGGAGGGTGCCAAGTAGGACGAAACGCGGGTTCTGGATCACATTGTTAACTGCCATCTAAATAGCCTTCTTCATTCTTTTACATTCTCAGTGGAACACAGGGCTTCAAACTTTTGAAATTCCAGGAACATTTGTGTTGTCTGTACGGAGTGAGTATGCTAGACCATCAAACCAGGACTACTCACTTCCCGACGAACCACCAGTTCACTGGTCTGATGACACGGATACAAACCACAGATCATTAAGCAAGTAACATTTCCATATTAAACATTTCATAAATTAGCAGCTATTACTAAGAGGAACTTTGATTATACACTAGGTAGTAACTAGCGCTATGCATCTAGTCATTTGTTTCGTGCAGGCTGAATTGTATCAGTTAAGTTTGAGATAAAGGTCACCATGCTGAATGACTCGGCATCACGGTTCACTCTAAACTATTCTTATTAGATGGTTGGAAGCAATCGGCAGGAAGCCCTGTTTGACCTAGCTTTCGTGCTAGCTGACACTCACCATTCAGCAAGACGTGTATCTGCAATCTTCAAGGACTTCATGTTCTTTCGGAGATTCTAACCCATTTCACCCATTGCCACAGTCAGAGGCGAGACCACACAGCAGCAATGGGTGACACAAGTTTGAATCTCAGAAGGTACATTAGTTCCTTCAAGATTGCAGATACGCTTTGTTGACTGGTGAGTACCAACAAGAACAAAAATTGGGTCTGCCTGGTAGAAGTGCTTCCTACCGATTACATCCAACCATCTCCTAACAACTAGTAGGACCTGCTTTATTTGTATTCCATGTGTAAAAACTACCAAATTTTTGAATAAAAAGGGAAAGAAAGTCAACTTAGTTCACTATAAAGATAAGTTTATTTTAATGATCACACAGTGATGATGCAGTATTAACAATTGGATAACAAGGTTTCGATCATAAATTATTGCCACTCATAATAATATCAACTTTAGTCACACATTTTCACGATTTGACGCATAAATTTTCTCTCTTTCTGTCTCTCCAACATCCCTTTCTTGTTTGTTGCCAATTCTCATATCTCCGGTGTAAGTGGCATTGCTTCATTCTGATTGCATGCCTACTGCGGTGTTGAATCGATAAAAAAAGATTCGGTAATTAACCTCTCTATCTCTCCACATAATTATATATTACTTGTTAATACTTTCACCCTGTCCGACGCACCCTATTTTATGATTACATCCAAGTGAATGCAATGTAATAGCTAAGCTCTGTTTTACTGACGTTATTTAACTCATCACGGTCAGTCATTGTAAGGTCTGGCTTAACTTTTACGTTCAAATAATCTAATTGACCCCAGTCTACTAGTTCGACCTATGTAGTTGACTTCACACTCATCACATGGTATATGGTAAGTTCTATTATTTCACTTAATTGGATCTATGGGGTCCTTAAACCGACAAAGTTTATCTCTGAGAGTCGGTTGGTTGCTTTAAATGCCACCCTAATTCCAGCTTCATTGAGAATCCTGCGTAAGGCCTCTGACTCTCCTTCTTTATACGGCAGTACTCAAAGGCTTCTTCTAGGTTACTAACCCGGGGTGAATAACCTAGAATAACGCTCAGCCATTGTACTACATTCACTTGTATGTAATCACAAAATATGGTGGGTGGAACATGGTGAGAGTATTAAAAAGTAATACATAGTTAGGTGGACAGACAGAGAGGTTAGTCACTGATTCTGTCTTTGTTTATCGATTCAACACCACACCACGTGTGCAATCGGAATGATGCAATGCCGCCTATACCGGAGATATGGAAAGTGACAACAAACAATAAAGGGAAGTTGGAGAGACAGAAACAGAGGAAATATGTATAACACAAATTGTGAAACCGTGTGATTAAAATTGATTGATGATTATGAGTGGCAACAATTTATGCTCAAAACCGTGTTGTCCAGTTGATAATATTGCATCATCACTGTGCGTGATATTTCAAATAAACTGGTCTAATATAAAGTTAAATTCTACCACAATGCACAAGTTCTACACTTACATTAAAGTCAACTTAACTAATGTTGTTTGCTTTTTTGTTTTATTTCATTTCTTTTTAGTCTATAACCGAAAGAATATTTCAAAATGAAACGGATATCAATCTGACAGGTGACTTAACTAATAATCTATCATCTTTGAGAAAATTTTATACCACTCTTATACACTTATTGTTTTTTTACGAGTTGATCACGGATTGATATCAGTTAGAGTACTATTGAAAACCAGCACTGGAGTACTGAACAGCCAGCTGTTTCATCAGCCTAGTTTGTGAATCATCGAAAGTACGCACCCAGCACCAGGGTTCGAACCCCAAAGACAAAATTAATCCTTACAAATCAACTATAGAAAAAGACTTATTGTTTTTTTATTTATTTTCTTATTTGTCTCTCTAGATATCGAGTGTACAGCACAATTTATACTAATCATAGAAAAGGATACAATTTTTCAAAAATTATTAAATGAAAACTTCTATGAAAAATTTAAACCATGTTTACTGGTTACAGTACGTTGAGAATTATTTTATAATTATATAATCCTAATCAATTAATCAATATTTTATAGGCTAAAGGTTATCCAGATTTATTGACTAGAAAATTTCTTGCTCAGTTAACGCATATTTATTCACGTATGCCTATAATAGGCATTTTTGATGCTGATCCACACGGTATGAAAGACTTTATTATTATTCCCTTGTTCTAACATATACACACATTTTATCTTATTCAGGTTTAAATGTATACTGTACCTATAAATATGGAACAATGGTAAGTTAAAAATGGTAATGTAAAGTAGGTGAATTTATACAGCTTATAAAAGTTTATTTAATATAACACACAAACACTATTACACTTTTAATGACTGGATAATGTTTCGAGTACAGTGTGTTGCTTTGGTTCAATGTCGGCAAAGTTAAACTTTAAGCACCACTAACTACCAATCAGCGAATGACTTTGAACGCACCAATCACATTGAAGGAGGCATTTTTGGTTATGAAATACATATATTATTGAAAAAAAGGGATAAAAACTGTATAAAACTGTTACAGAGGATATCTTTCTTACATATGTGGTAAAAATATCTCCCAACTGAGCATACGAGTGTCAATTTTATGATGTGGTTTTGTCCTCTGAGCCGGATAGTTTATTTGCGAAGCTTTCATTGCCCCCTACTAGGCGTCATCTTCAGAGCATACTTCCGTTTGACTTCAAATAAACTATCCAGCTCAGAGAACACAACCACATCGAAATCATCCACCTGATCTACAAATATTCTCCATCATATCTATACGAGTATCATTTGAAAAGTTACATCACATAGTATACACACATTCGTCTAAATGACTATAAATGACATCCTTTTGAGATCCATTAATGGCTCTAATCCTGTTTTTTAACCTTCCCCAAAAGCCTTTAATTGGACTGGTGTGTGTGTGTCCCTGTAATGGGATCCACAGAATCATTAGAATGGTTAACTCTGTGGTAAATATACTCAAGGGATGATAAAGAGTTATAACTTTTCCATTCATTTGTGAGTATTGTAGATCCTTGTTTCACCAGTCGGGTGATAATGCGTATTAAAGTACTTGGCTTTTTATCTGCTATTCTTTCGACGAATCCTTTCTGTAGAGAGGTATCATATAAATCAATCACCCAAACAATATTTGTTTGTCCACAACCATGGTTGTATTTTTTCTTTAATAAGGCAGTTTCGTCCACGTGTACGATGAAACCTTCTCCTCCTCGTAACGAAGTAAGCCTCTCCATTTTCACTGACACGATATCTCTGAAGTGCTGGTAACGCTGAACCGCTGATACGAGACTATTTTCAGTTTCAGCAGCTGTGCCCCTCACAGGCTGCTTTAAAACCCAGTAATTACAAATATAGAAAATCTGGATTAAGGACAAGCGGGACCTAGCGAAAAATTTTCCTACGATGTACATATGTATCAACCGACCTGCTGAGGATTTTTATACTCATGGCACCTCCACGTGAACAAATCCTTTGCTTCCTAATCAACCCCATATCCAAGCAATACTGGGAAACCTTATCCTAACCAAATTACAAGCGCAGCTGCGTTAAAGCAGGCAATTGACTCGAAACGAGCGGAATAGAAGCCTCAACTTACGGGAATGAAACTCACTGAACCATTTAAGGCCAATGGCGCGGTTGCACCCCATTGGTAGTTAGTGGTGCTTAAAGTTTAACTTGACCTATAATTCAATGTATTCCCATGACTTTTTTGACTCACAGTTACTGTAGTAATGTTTGGTCATGAAGAGAGTGTCCAGAATGTACAATGCACTAATCAAGGCATTCTGCTCGAATTCACACAGCCTACAAAGACTTGTCATCTGTTTAATTTCATCATAGATGAACTAGTGACTTCAGCGATTTAGGGATCGACTCGTTACCAGAGTACCTTCTTATTGATTTAACATATGCGGATGATACAGTCCTCCTGGGTGAAGATGCTGATAACATGCAAAATCTTCTGAACATTTTGAGCAGAAATCTTAGAGTGTTTGTTATGCGATTCGCTTCTGTCAAATGTAAGATGATGATACTACAGGACTGGATGATATCGACTACTAGCTTAAAGATGTGGAGTGAAGTGGTGGAACGTGTTGACCACTTCACTTATTTAAGAGGTTGCATCAGCTCCTACGAGCCGATTGCTGAGCAAATCTCAGCATGGGTACAAAAAATATGTGAGCCTGCGCTATCTCTGGCGTAGACGTGATATCCGCCTATCGACCAAAGGACGTGTGTACTGCTCAACAGTTTACTCCATTCTCCTTTTTGGCTGTGAGACATAACTATTGAAGGTGAAGATATGAATAAGCCAGCTGTTTTTTTGTATCATAGGTGTCTGCGTTTTATGTGTGGTGTTAGGTGGTATAATACGGAGAGTAATACTGAGGTTAGGCGTCGAGTGTTAGGTAAAGAGGGGAAATCAATCGACGCGATTGTGAAGCTACATCGACTGAGATGACTAGGAAATGTGTTACGCATGCTTAGCTACTGTCGCCTTCTTCGACGGGAAATGTTAGCTGACATAGGATCAGGCTGGGAAGGAGTTAGTGGTAGTCAGACCAAAACTTGGCATCAGTCGATGAGAACCTTGACAGTTAGTTTGAGCCAGTCACGTAGGGAGGTGTACACTGGCTTCCTGGTTGGGGTCCTCAGGATTCTGAGAACCAACAGCTGGGAATAATTGGTGAGATAGTTTGAAATTTTTCTCAATGGCTGTCTGAAATGTATTCACTATTTGTGATGTCTCATATCCACTAAGCCGTCATGTTTTTCCATTTTACTATTCTTTCTCTTGCACATTTCTACTTATCATTGTTCATCTGAATGTCTTTTTCCTCTTTTTTGTCTTCCTTTGTGTGGAGTGTGGCAACTCCAACTGGTGTGCTTCTGAGAGAGGTCCCATTTCGAAATCAGTCAGTCAAACGACTTCTCAACTTGCTTTATACAGCTTTATTTCCACTTGTTTATTATTAGGACCTTCCACATATTCGAGATAAGTGTTGAGCCATTTCGACTGCATGTATTTGATGTTGAATTGATGGAAAAAGTTTCCATAAATATTCGCTCTCTTCATTTGTTAAGTGTTTATATATTGGTGGATGCACTGCTCTGGATAAGCTTTGTAAGGTAATATTTATAAATTCTTTTCCAACCTAGAACCCGACGATGAAAGATGCAAAAGGAAATCCTGTTAGAATACCAAATCTACAACTCTGTGGACTACTTCCAAGTGAAATATCATCATCGTAAGTTGTTATTAATGCTTTCATTAAGAAAACCAACAATAATAATACTTATTTTACTTTAGTATTCATATTAAAGAGACGCAACTTTTATCACTAACAAAGAATGATAAAACTCTGTTAGAAACAATGCAAAAACGTGAATATATTCAACATGAGCCTCTATTATTAAAACAGGTAAGTGCAATGTGAAATTCAACAATTCATTCTTATTTCAATAGATAAGACATTTATTATTTACAGAAAAGAAAGCAGAATTGGAAGCTTTAAATTCAATTAATACAAGATTTTTAACGCATGAATATTTACCAGATAAATTATTGTCATTAGGAATATTGCCTAACGATTATCAATGAAGACAAATTTGTCAAAACAACGGAACACCTGCCCTTTTTCGTCTTGTTACTACTTTTTATCTAACATGATTGTTGTATCTCTTCCTGTTCATGACGAAAATAAGTTGGACAAATAAAGTTTTATCACTGTAGTTTGTTTGGCTGATGTTTATCAGAGGGATTTACAATGAGTGTTTCGTCCTCTTTGTGACTCGTCAGTTAGTCGTATATGGTGCTCAATACGTGTAGGTATTACCACTGAGACTGAGACCCATTGTCAGAGCACAGTGGATGAATCGTTGACGTATGAGACCACAGGTGCTGCGTTCAAGTCTCAATAGGAGTATCATCAATCACTGGGGACATCTAGGTGACTAGTCTCAAAATAGCGAAATTATGTACACTTTTACACAGATCTTCCATGTGGTACTAATTCTGACCTTCCTTCATGTTGTATTTCTTTGTGTTCCTATAACATCTTCCATGTATCTGCATAACGTTGTATCATTTGCTTTTTGTGACGTCAAATCTATCTCCCTGCTATTTGATATTTTTATGCTGATGAACGTCTCTTTATATACTACTGATAAATCTTATCAGTAGCACAAGCTACACTAAAAGTGGATGGGATATGTTCTTACAGGTAACCAATGATTTAATGGTCGGCACAAAAGAGGTGTATGAAGTCAATTGCCTCATTTTTATATTTCCTACTTACACAGTGTAACGCTTTTCATGTAGTGAATTTTTATCACTCTAACAGTTTGCAGTAAATTTTAATGTACTTTTACAACAAATAACAACAACGACAGTGTTTTAAAACTGTCAAAATGCAAGAAGCATAAGCAATCTTCTATGTTTCCGTTTGATGCTCTTAACTAGTGAACACTCACCATTTCATGAGGCGTTGAGACTAGGGATATCAGTATGAGTACTTTACTGTATATATCAGCTAGTGATATTCTGCAATTTCCAACTTGAGTTAATTCATTAATGATTGTGATCATTAGCTAATGTCACTGGTAACTGACTGACTGTCAACACATCCAACTTCGATGGAGATTTCATATTGGAACTAGTTGTTAATGAGAAGTAGTTCTTGTTATGTACATAAAAATTCCTATACAGCGTTTTATATGATGCTTAAGAAATAATTGAATCCACTACTCATTTTTATATTGTAACGCAGAAAGGGGATGATAAAATTAGGTTTAGTTCGTTTTTCCTTCTGATGATTCCATGTTAAACAGTATTGGATTTACAACTCTAGATCTTGAAATTATTGGAAATACATATTCACCCTGATAATTCTTGTCTTGAATCGATTATAGGGATGTATCCGATCAAAAAAATGCCATCTTGATGTGGTCATAAGGCAAGAAAAAAATATTCTTGCAACCTCCACCATGTCAGACAAATCATTCGAATAGCTGTTAGCGGCCTGCATTAAATCGAGGGTCTGAGGATGGAGCTCTACTACTAGCGAATGAATATGCATGTAGCAGAAGTAAGGTGTATCCTACCAACAACTAGCAGACCATCTATAAACTGTCTTTTCGCTCTTGGGGAGTTGGGGGCGTTAGAAAACGTCAACCTGGAAAATTCAATGTATATATACATAGATTTATATCCTCTAACCAATCACTGAGTGTGTAATTGTGGCTTACATTAAACGACATAAAATAGAATGTTCAAATACATATATAGTATTCTTTTGCTAATGCAATATTGGACTGTGGGAATATGTGAGCATAATATTCCGTTGGAACACGTTGTTTGCATCACACCACCACAACATATCCTAAATAGTTGTGTGTAGTCAGCCTCCAGCAGTTATCCACTATACTGTAACGGCAGAAGACAAGGGCCAGGCAACAGATCGTTTATTGAGAAAATCGACAGATATTTATGCACATTATTATTGGCGGAGAGCAACCTCTTCTGATTGGTTATTTTCTCTCTGAAGGTTATTCTCTTATCTCTTTGTGGCCGTTTCTCAAAAAATTAAGCCATATATCTGTGAATCATATTTCCACACTTTAACTCCACTGTGATTGGCTGGTGAGTTCCCCAGGGTTAGGCTTTGTTATTGTTGTTTTTCCCATGACTCTGATTTTGGAAGTGAACATTGACGTAAACTGTTGTCTACAATTTCGTCTTGCAGACAGACAGCTCTCACTACAGTACTATTATTATTATTCCTTTGGGTTCCTAGTGGAACATAGGGCTTCAACTACGCGTCTCCCCATGCTTCTGCTGCACTTTTCACCTGAGTCCATGTTAATCCATACTGTTTTAATTCCTCTTCACACGATCTCCTCCATGTCACCCTTGGACGTCTCACTCACCACTTCCCCTTCGGGTTCCACTCGAGCTATGGCCTGACGCGCGATGTCACCCAACGGCCTCCTCAGCGAGTGTCCAATCCATCTCCACTTCTTTCTCCTGCATATTTGTTGGGCAATTGGTTCTTGTTTTGTTTGTTCCCATGGTTTATTGTTGGTGATTCTTTCCGGCCATCTGATCTTCAGTATAGAGCCAGCGAAGACAGTTGTTGATAAAGGTCTGCAACAGGCTGTTGGAAATATTCTTTGTGACCCGCCGCCAAGTTTCTGATCCATCCGTATAGAAGAACTGACTGACTTGACGTTTGTATTGAAAATCCGAATTTTGTTGTTGATGCTGGGTTGAGTGACAGTGGAAGATTTCCAGATTGGTTTCAGGTTGATGAATGTGTTTCTCGCCTTCCCGATTCTCGATTTGACATCCTCGTCCGTTCCAACTGCCTGTAGTTGAGACAATGCTCCCTAGATAAGTGAGTGAGTGAAGTAACCTCTTTCAAATCCCTCCCGTTGATGGTGATTGGCGCTGGATGTTGCTGCTGCTGTTGTTGTTGTTGGTTGGTTATTTTCATAACCTCCTTCTTGTCTATGTTCACCTGTAGCCCTGTCTTTGCAGCTTTTTCGACCAGTTTGTCACTTTTCGCTTGTAAGTCTTCGATTTTGTGTGACATCAAACATAAATCATCCAAGGGCGAAATCCAGGCCTTCTAGGTTCTTCACTTCGGTCCAGGATATCCCTGTCTTGTCGTTTCCCACTGTCTGACGCATAATCCAGTCCACCACAGTTAGGAATATCATTGGTGATAATAAGCACCCTTGTCTGAGTTTGTGTATTAATAATAATCCTATACAGTTAATGAGAGATGACAGTGTATTTGAATTTCCGATGCTCAAATGTCTAAAAGTCAATTCACTAAGTCAATGAAACCAAATGCAAATGTTTGTTTGTTGTTTCAATTCAACAACCCTCAATAGATGTTTTCTCATGAACCACAAGGCGGCACACTTTTTGTGCGTGTGTGTGTGACCTAGGCTGAAGTGGATGGAACAGGACTCGAACTCAAGATCAATGAACTGAAAGCCTACTACTACTACTACTGGTAACAAATATACCTGGGAATATTCGCATAACAAAAAGGAAAAATAAAATAAAAATCTGAAATTTTCAAAGTTTATGATTTTATTAGATTCTTCATTGCATATTTTTCATATCCATGAGTACTGATAGTTGAATGGTAAAATGTGGGTACAGAAACTTTATAGAAGCATATACAAGTAAAACAATAATCATCGTCATTAAAACAAACACACAAACAAACAAATATACAATTAAAAGATTCTTTAGATTTTATTAAATAAACTATCTTTAATAAATTGACCAGTTAATGCATGTAGTTGTTCCATAGCTAATTTTGTTGCATCTTTACTACACTTGGCTAAACGATCTTCCAACCGATCACTGTCCCAGTTCATACGACACATCTGTGAATAGTGTTTAACAGAAGAAACAGAAAAATAGAAATACAGTTAGTTATAGAGGGGCGAAGTTAAACTTTAGATACCAATAACCATGGATTGGAACAATCGCGTCACTCATGTGAGTTAAAGGTCAAGTTATTAATCCGATTGATAATAATCTCATTGACTTAGAGTATGCGAATGATATAGTCTTCCCTCTTAGGTGAAGATGGTGACAAAAAGCAAAGTCTTCTGAACACCTTGAGGAAAAATCTTAAAATGTGTAGTATGTGATTCGCTCCCACTGTCAAATACAAGTAGGATGATGCTAAAGGACTGGACTACATCAACTTCTAGCTGGCTTAAAGATAGCCACGAGTGAAGTGGTGGAGTGGGTTGATCAATTCACCAAATTTTTGGGAAGTTGCATTAGCGCCAAAAGGCTGATTGCTGACGAAATCTCAGCACAGATACAAAGGACTGATGTGGCATCTGCCGAATTACACCATATTTATCGTAGACTTGATATTTGGCCATCGACCAGAAGACATGTGTACTTCCCAGCGGTTCGCTCCATCCTCCTTTATGGCTATGAACGATACGTAGCCATTGAAAGCTGGAAACATGAAAACATTAGCTGTCTTTAATCACATGTGCCTGCGTTCTATCTCCCGTATGAAGTGGTATAATAAGGTCAGCAATATTGAGTTTAGGCTTCAGTCGAGTACCAGGTAAGGATAGGAAATCAATCGACGATGCTGTGAAGCTAAAACGATTGAGATGGTTAGGACATGTGTCACGCATGCCTCCTAAACTAGCCATCGCCTTCCCCGATTACGGGCAATGTTACCTGACAAAGGATCAGGCTGGAAAAGAGTTAGTGGTGGTCAAACCAAAACTTGGCATCGGTCAATGAAATCCATAAAAGTCAGTTTAAACCAGTAATGGAGGGGGGTGTAAGGTGGCTTCCTAGTTATGGTCTTCGAGAGTCTAAGAACCCATGACCGGAGAGAATTAGTGATATGGCTCGAAATCATTGTCGTGACCACAAGGGAGTGAGGACAAATACCCGCCACCAATGACATTGAATGGTGCCGGTCGCGCTAAATGCATCATGAAATAATAGAGGTTAGGATTCATGGGCTGGTGGCCATTGAATCGGGTCCAAGTGGCTGAATGGTCTAAGGGCTTGCCATGCCACCGAAAGGTCCTGAGCTGAGATCTTGGTATATACATATTTAATGTAT